AGAGTCACTACAGGTATAATACGTTCTTTCAAAGGGAGAACATGAAATGCAGAACTTCTCTGATTCCATGGGGCTCGAGAAGTTAGGGCTTCAAAATCATGTGATAAAAATCAAGCCCTAGTTCGGCTTCCATGGCAACAACATCGAGAGAATAATCCTGAACAGCATCAAATGGACACCGGGATAACGAAAAAGATTTGAATTGAGTAAACCGTTTTTTTATATTCTATACGCCGGCCTAAATGTGCTCCCTTACGCGTCTTTCGAAGTCCAATTTGAGGACAATTTTTGCTGTTCTTTTGTTATTTATTTCAGTGTATTATGTTCAAGTTTGTTTTAATACAACGGCGACACTGTTCAGCTCTACGTCAAGTATACCCCCATCATGGAAACAGTCTATTGGACTTGTCCGGTCTAAAGAGATAGTGGTTGCCAGTTTGAAAGACGACGATACATCGTGGGTTGCAGAATACCTGTCAGATTGGAATGCCAACATCTATGTCGTGGATGATCCCAGATCAGAATTGACCGTCCCGATGAATAAAGCCAGGGAATCGATGGTGTATCTGACGTCAGTGTATTTTATTTGTTTATTTGTTTATTCATTTATTCATGTTTTTATGTAATGGTAGGCTATCTATATATTGTGCTGTATATTGTCTAACATTGTTATAATCAGGTATATTATTGATCGCTTTGAAAAACTCCCGGATGTCATGATCTTTATGCATAGTAACAGATATCAGTGGCATAACGATGATCCAATTTACGGTATGAGCATTGTGCAATACGGTGCAGTCAAAGCCATGTTTTTTCTTTTTGCATGTTCGAGGACATTAAGGCCATGGGCACATCTTACTTGTTTATTAAACAAAAAAGGATATTTCTAACCCGCTACTACCAAGACGCTGTTCCAATCATCCAATCCCTCCGCCTCCCACATGTATACAAAGTTGGCTATGCACCTCTCCGCTGCACGTGGATCCCCGGCTGCCCGGCGGAACTGCACCCTTTAAATCCCACGGACACGGGCCCGGAAGGTCGTCAACGTTCAGAAGTCGAATACGCAGCTGTGTTTGAGAAGATGCTTCCAAACACGCCCGTTCCGCCAGTTGTGGGCGCGCCATGTTCGGCGCAATTTGCTGTAACAAGAAATCAAGTCATGAAACGGTCGAAGGAGAGCTACGAGTTGATAAGGCGTTGGGTGATGGAGACGGATCTTCCTGACGCGGTTTGTGGGCGCGTTATGGAGTATATGTGGCATAGTATGTTGCCAGTTTTTTTTAAATCTTCTATCAGCGTTTTTCTCGCTTCCTGTATCATGCGAATTTATACACCGGTATCTACACCGGGATGCATCGAACGGAATTCGGCGACATACGGGACTAACCTGGCTTTCACATAGTCATCATGCAAATGCCGCCGGTCTACTGCCCACCAGCAGCGGAATGCTATTGTATGACGTTTGGGCTGTGCAACTTGACATGCAGCTCTGTTGCCAAGTGCGAGAACAGATATATTCTCCCTACGCATTCACGCATCCCTGAGGGCTGGCCGGAAGAAGGCGGAGGGGAAAATGGCTGGCCCGCTCCTGGCTGGAATGAGTTGTGAAATGTGGCTTACTTATGTTGCCAACTTTTGACGATTCTCACAAATTCAACTTGTTTGGCATTGCGGTCCATCTATTCCCGTCCTGGTACCGCCACCAGTATGAATATGAAAGGAATTATGCTCGATGTCGAACTTGCATATAGGGCGTTCAGACTGGGAAAGATCACTCAACGTCCGTAGGGACTGCAAGGCATCAGTTTTCGTTGATTTGGGTTATGTATTTTCGTTTCTTCCAGCTGCACCACGAACAGCTCACTACTCTGATCTGCATTTCAGCTCTGCAAGGGTCCTGGCTTTCACAAATGCACAAAGGGGCCATCCAGGGGGGCCTCTCAGTACGGCAGGTATGGGCAGTGGACCATATCAAAAAACCCATTATCACTACATAAAACCGGCACGCGTACAGGTGCTCAATTCTGGCCCATCAATGCCCTTTCAAATATGCATACATGGTAATAAGTTCTCCATCGGCCCGTTAATTTTCGCGTCATCCTACCGGCTTGAAGGTATCTACACCTCATCCTCCCTCCCACTCCCTCGAAAAACAAAAACGCAGCATATATTTGTACCGCGCCAGGCAACTCTACAAGGCCTCTGTATCTCTGATACCATTTCCTGTTGTGCCACAGATGTACCGAAAGCAGAAAATGGAATTAGCGCGGCGTTGCCGTTTCAGTTGGATATACGGGAGGCCCTTGCCTTGATTGAGACCAGCGGCAATTGG